ATANATANATATATAACACACTATATATATATATATATATATATATATATATATATAAGATATTAGAATGCACTGATTCGTATACGAGTGAAACATTCTTCGAGACTCATAATAGGCAACTGTTCATGTACGCAAAAGTCTTCTTGATCCATGTATGCCGAAGCTCTTAGTTCCTATTGCCTTTCGCTTCAGCTCCACAGTGTGCACACTCTCTTAAGTATGATGTAATTCTGATGTATACACCCATACTTACAATGTTTTTCTTGTACCATTTGTTCTTGAGTTTGGTTATCTGCGTCTCTGTGGGCTCTCCGGCGAATTCGAGGTTTGAAAAGTATGTTTTCCATGCCTCGTCGTTCTCGAAATCGTGAATAGACGCCATTGTGAATGTATTTAGTCCAAGATGTATCCATCTGATGCACTGCAGGCAATGCGTACATGTTATGTGCGTGTCACAGAAATGTGGACAAAACGTTAAAAAAATACAGTCTCCAAATGTTCGAGACTTTTCGCCTCAGCGTTGAATAACATGCCTTCACAGAAATGTCAAATGACACCGATTCATACACGTCCTTCTCGTTCATTCTATTTATTTTTCGCCACATTACAGATTCCACACCAAATGTTGACTAGAGAAGTGTCACGACTTAATTCGACATATGACGGAATAACGGGCGAACAGATGAAGTCAAAGAAAGTCCGCGATAAATCAACCTGTGAATACATTTTAGCTTTTTCTGGGGGCCAAGAGACCTAATAAGACACTGGGGGGTATTTATGATATGTATCTGTTGTAGACCAATACATGGTAGGATTGATGATACAAATAATTTATGTGTGGATATATCGGATTCCAGACCACGGAAATACATCTGGTGCTGTGTGGCACTCAAGAAGGTCACAAATCGAACAACAGTTGGAAATCGAGAAGGTTTAGAGACAATACCAGAAACAGTTTGTAACCGGCCATCGGTAGTATATATATTTTCAAACACATAGGTGTGCCGGAATAATGTCGGGCAAACCAAAGAAGACAGTGCCTGGTAGTCCCAAAGCAACTATATCACAGTTGTCAACGCACAATGGCAAGAGACGAACGTCGCAAATACGAGTCCTTCCTACGCATGTGAGGAGGGATAAGGGGCCTAAGAAGCTGTTCATTCAGGGCTTGTCAGGTACATGAGCTACACATATGATTATGGTAATATTATTGTCAATACCGCTTCATCTAAACGTTTTGTTAGAACCGTATGTAAATATATATAT